GAAATTTTACTGTTTTTCCAGATGAATGTGACATTTCTAATCTGTGGCAGAAAACTTGGACGTGAAATCTGGTGGGTAGAAAATAGTAAAAAGGCCTGTTTCCTCCTCTGCTCTGTACAAGGGTGAGAAGAAATGTACCTCTCAGCTTGCCCCTTTGCTTGGTCCCTTTGTCAGAAATTATCAATCACTCCATGACACCATTTTGCTCAAATTTGATTATTATTTAAAGTCAGAAGAAAGCTGGAGAGTTGAGTTCTCACTCCTTTCCTTCTTTTCAGTTACTCTTTCCCCCATTTCTCTGTCTCTTCTCCCCCTGTTCCTCTTTGTCACCCCCTAATTAGGTGCTAAAGAGATAATTGACATCCCCTTTCTTCCTCATGTGTTAAAAACTGCAGGACATATTTGACTAAAATGTTCTTCCAATATTCAACAAATATGCACTTACCAGTTATTAAACTGGAAACTGGATCACACCGTGCACATTCTATGAGTCACTGTCTCTATACAGAGAATTTTCATACTAGACTGGACTGAGGTAAACAAATGGGTCGTCATGCAGTATAGTGGATGGCCATTGTTGCAAAAGGACATTCAGCACGTTCTTGAATAAATCATCCTATAGGAGGAATTCTGAACTTCAGGATGACCAGGAAATACAAGTTAGTCATCTGGGGATTTGGAAAGGGTAGGTTTCAGCTGACAGGAAGTAAGATTTTGGTGGAGGCCCCTTAGAAAATTTTGTCGCGTTAACATTTGGGCTATGAGTATGTGTGGATACAGAGATGAAGAGGAAGAGCATAAGATTGGGGATAGAAACCCTCTGATAAGAACTATGGCTTTTTTTTTTTTTTGAGACTGGAGAATCACATGAAGCTTTTAAGCGAGGGGATCTCATCACAGCTACTTGCTTTGCTAAGGCATAGAGGTTGGATTATGTTTAGTTGATGATAATTAACCAAATATTGAATATTGCAAATATTACAGGGAAAGGTCAGATACACACTTTAAACATTGTGTGTGCAGGGGTAGGAAATTTGGGAAGGTCAGATATACAATTCACCATGTGTGAGGAGTGCTGTATGGTAGGAAATATGGCTAGCATGCTATGGCCAGTGAGAAATTTTGGTGGTCTGCCTTGTTTTATCATAGTAAAGTAGGTGAGGTGTGTGATTTTAGAGATATCAATGGGATATGATTGATAGACTGGACAGAAATATTGATGGTATGAGAAGGAGAAAATAGTATTGTTACAGACTTCTAGATGTTGACCTGCATTCTTCTCTCTCACTTTCCTCTGACAGCTTGGTGACTTTGTGGGTGATTCTCTTCCCATATGCCTAGTCACCATTGTCTCTTCTGCTGCCTCATTTGGTGGGTGCACAATGGGATGGAAAAATGATGGGCCGTTGACCTTGTAGCAGAGGCCATTTGTTTCAGCAAAGCTATTATCAAGAATTATGCTAAGCATCTCCTCCTGTCAGATGGATTTTGTTCTCTATTATGTTACATGATGAGCAGTGCTATGAAGTTGTGGGGTTGGATGTAGAAGGGGAGGCACAATAGTTGAAAAAACAAACGAAACCAAGAAGAGAATTTCAATCAAAAACCAAGAGAGCTGAATGAAACAAAAATAATGTAATTAAAGAATAAAAGTGATCATTTGTTTACTGAGAGAGTATTAAGCCAGATTATTATTATAACTCAGAATTTTTCTAAAAGATTTTCCAGTGATACTAGTAGTCTGTGCTCCCATGCTACTCTGTAAAAAGATAGTTGTGGAAAATGCTTCTAAGGAGGCTTATTTAATGATATTCCTCTTAAAAAAAACTTTATTCAATAGTAAACTTCTTAAATTTGTTGAATCTGGAATTTTATAAATATGTTTACCCAGGTTGTCTTTTGCTAATGCTGAATTAGCATTGTGTGGAGCTGGCGCTTTGGAGATCACAGGTAGGAGAAGTGAAATGTCAGCCGAATAGATGATCAAATACTTGTTAACATTTAATGTATGTTGTGAGGTACCAAATATTACATGACCTCTTTCAGTTAGTCTTCATACCAATTATTATTTTTATGAGCAATCTTATTAAAGCCCATATCACACCACCAATGAAAATATAGTTACTAAGTAATGTATTCAAACTTATATAGCCAATAAACAGGAGCCAGCAAGGAAATTTAAATGTTCAAACGTTTTTCCCTTTGACCATTGTCTTTGACATGTGACAGGTGGGGCACACGTTTCACATAAATATACCGTACTACAGTAGAAGAGACTTAGAGTCCCACAACAGTTACTTGAGAAGCTTGAAAGCTATGGATCCAAACAAAGTAAAGTTGTGTAAGGGTCACTGTATTATTTAATTTGTCTAGTTGCCGGGCCAATAATATCTGTTAAAAGCATTGTAAGGGACAAAGGGTTCATTTAGACTCACCATTCAGGGGTGCAGTCCATGTTGGAGGGGAACTCATGGCACCAGGAGCCTGGAGCTTCTGGTCACATTGTTCCTTTGGTCAGGAAACAGAGAGTGATGAATTCTCTTGGTCAGTTCACTTTCTTCTTTTGAAGGCCATGATCCCAGCTGATGAAATGTTGCCATCTAAAGTTAAGATAAATCTTGGCTCCTCAATTAGTTTAATCTAGGTAAGCCCTCATAGTCAAGTCAGTGACATGTCTCCTAGGTAACTACCAAGATGACAGCATCAACCATTACAGTCCTTCCTAATCAGGAACCCAGAGAGCATGAATTTGAACCCTGAGACTTGGGGAGTGATGTTTTTAAACCTTTGAGCTTTCCTTTATACCATATAATGTGTATATTTTCCCAAAATAAGAAATATTAACACATATCCATATTAAAGCACATGCTACATCAAGCTGTTTTCTCCATGTAAAAGAATGCTCTGAATTGTCTACTCAGATTTGTTTGCTACCCCGGGTCATGGGTTAGAAGACAGATTGTTTTGGAGGTCAAGCTCTGACAAAAGAGTAATTCAGTGACCTCAAGGGGAAGAAGAGTCAGACAAGAACACAAAGGAGTACAGAACACTGCCAGAAGCAAACAAAGCAGGACCAGGGTCTGTAGACTCAGCAAAGGCTGAGTTAAACATAGGCTCTAAATTTGAAAGGTCCTGGGACAGAGGTGGATGTTGTCCTTCCCTGTAAATACACCCACATGCAAGCTATTCCCTTTGGCTCCACTTTCCCCTCACCATTGTCGTAGCTTACATAAGGATTTTAGAATTATGTCATTCTAGGCTTGAATATTTGCTCTGTCATCAAACGTGACCTGAAGAAAATTTCTAAGTTGTATCAGCTGCAAAATGAGGGTAGGCATTATACTCTTGAGAACAAGAGAAATAATGTATAAGGTGCTTGACAAAGTAGATGCTAAACGTTTTCGATAAGGAAGTAGTTATCTGTGGTGGTATTGTGTTCCCCAAAATATTGTGCACCCTAATGAACTTATCTGGGGTCAGGGCATGAAACAGCCACTAGATAGCTAGAAAATGGTGGCACTCACACCTTTAATCCTAGCATTTCAGAGGCAGAAATCCCTCTGGATCTCTGTGAGTTCAAGGCCACATTGGAAATGGACAGGCATGGTGACACTCGCCTTTAATCCCCAAATAAGAAATATTAACACATATCCATATTAAAGCACATGCTGCATCAAGCCTTTAATCCCAGGAAGTGATGACAGAAGGCAGAAAAATATATAAGGCATGAGAACTAGAAACTAGAAGCATTTGGCTGGTTAAGCTTTTAGGGTTTTGAGCAGCAGTTAGGCTGAGATCCATTTGGATGAGAACTCAGAGGCTTCCAGTCTGAGGAAACAGGATCAGCTGAGGAAATGTCGAGGTGAGGAAACTGTGGCTTGTTCTGCTTCTCGGATCTTCCAGCATTCATCCCAATACCTGGCTCCAGATTTGCTTTTATTGATAAGAACTTTTAAGATTCATGTTACAGGCCGGGCATTGGTGGCGCACGCCTTTAATCCCAGCACTCGGGAGGCAGAGGCAGGCGGATCTCTGTGAGTTGGAGGCCAGCCTGGTCTCCAAAGCGAGTTCCAGGAAAGGCGCAAAGCTACACAGAAAAACCTTGTCTCGAAAAACCAAAAAAAAAAAAAAAAAAAAAAGATTCATGCTACAGTTATCTCTTTTTTTCTTAGTCATATGATTTCATTTTGAAAATGTTGATATTTTTGAAATTCTGATTTTTCATTTTTCTTCTACTTCTGGTAAAGTACAATGAGTTGAACACTGAGTTTCCCACTGCAGAGTTTAGTTACCCATTAGTTTGGCAAGATTATCTGGCAGTAAGAAAGTTATACTACTGGATTATTTTTAAAAATCCCACCTCAAATGGTAAAGTTTAAATGACTTTATTATGAGCAGAATTTATCTAAGCAATTAACATTTATTTATTACTTTGTGTGTGTATGTGTATGGGTGTGCATATGCCATAGAACATGCTTAGAAGTCTGGAATTGAGCAAAGAATCTTGAGAGGGAAAAGTAAACAATGTTATTTGAATGACTGTGACTTGAATTTTCTTAATAAATTACATTATGTTTATATGAACAAGGAAATGACAACAAGATGCTGCTTAATGCTTGAGTCATATCAAAATACTTTGTTTGGAAAACTTCTGCTCTCTATTCACAGTTCATATATAGTTGGGCATGGTACCTCATATATGTAATCCTCATTCATATTTGGGAACCTGAGGTAGGAAGTTTATGAGTTCAAAACCAGCCCCGGCTACGTAGTATGACCCTGTTACAAACAACAACAACAACAACAACAAAAACAACAGCAACTACAAAGAACCATAACAACCAAACAAACATAGTTTATATAAACAGAACCTTCAGTGTGAGAAATTCATCTCCCTGGGGATAATTATGTCAAGGGATCATGAAAGACTTGAACACAGTACAATTACGGAAATGCAATGATGTAATGTTCTTAGGAACTGTATCGCTTTTGTATTGCAGGATGAGTAAGAGATACTTACAGAAGGCAACAAAAGGAAAGCTGCTGATAATCATTTTTCTAGTGACCTTGTGGGGGAAGGCTGTCTCCAGTGCAAACCATCACAAAGGTAAGCTCTGCTGCGTCCCCCACTGTTGGTGTGAAATGGTTCCTTTAAACAGATTGTGACATTCTGTCTTCACTGGTCTGTTCAATTTTATTAGGTATGGGTTCCCCCTAGCAATTTTCTTTAAGTAAAAATGCAGAGAGCTGTCTTCAAGATGACTTTGAAAGGAGAAACATGGTGTTTTCAGGATTACGGCCAATTCTGCAAATATTGTCCAGTGAATGTAAAAATCTACCTCTATCTTCCCTCTATTTTTAAAGATGGTGATGTTAAAATGTTGACTTGGTGTGTAATAAAGATGAATTTCAGACTGCCCTTATAGTCATAAAGAAAACATTTTTCGTGATGCATATATTAATCATATATACACAGTACATGCAAAGTTTTCCTTTAGATTTTTTGTAGACTGTGTCTTTTTTTTGGCACTGTGCCTCTCTGCCCATCATCTGGACACCATTTCTACCATAACTCTCAGTAGGTTCTGTTCTTCCCCAGAAAAGTGAGAATATTTGTCTATATGTATGTGCTGTCAGCTCAAAATGACTCCCTTTTCTCGTTTCTAGCCATTAGACCCAGCATAATGAATGGCTGCCTTTTCCAAATGAGTTTAAATGGGGCTATTTCTGCATTATATCTACCATAATCAAGTATTCATAACCGGAGAAGTCAATTTAGATTTTTCTGTGAAATATGGTTTTGCTATTCAATTCTCTGTCCACCATGAAGGCTAGCAATTTCCTTCCTTATTCTCTTTTGGGGTGAAAGAGGAATCAAGAGTGCCTTGGATTCTCTAACACTTACATTATTTACACATGTGCATTTAATTAGCATTAAATGGAGCATTAACATGGAGAGAAGAAATGTGTGGTGTGAGAATTGATGTCTATGTAACAAACCCCACCCCCTGCATTTAAAACCAATAAATGAGACTATGTGAAGGAGAGTTTTGTGGAGACTTTTTTTGTTTGTTTGTTTGTTTTTGTAATTCTGTTTTGAGCTATAGATGCATGTGTGCTTATAAATGTACATTTTTCTTTTTGTCTTTAGAGTAGCCCATGGACCTGTCAATCAATCCTTTAATCCTCTTTAATAATTGTTATCTTGGGTTCTTTTACTGTTGCCGTGATACAGAACTCTGACAAGGGCATCTTAATCACCGTTCCATGTTACAGTTGATTGTCACCAGGACATCCCAGTTGCAGGAGAGTGAGGGAGCTGGTCACATTTCATCCATAATCAGTATGAATTGCATACCACCATTAAAGCTACCTTTAAGAACTCTTAAGTCATGCTGTACAGTGTTAATATCAACGCTATTAGCTCTTCTTATAGCATGTTAACATGATATTTTTAATTTTTTTATTTTATTATTTATTTATAAATTTAAAAGATATTTAAATATTTTATTTATCTAAATTATGTGAGTATGTGCATATCTGTGAGTGGAGGTGCCTATGTAGTCCAGAAGAGAGCCTCTGAAACCTTGGAGCTGAAGTTACAGGTGGTTGTGAGTTGCCTAAGGTACTTACTGGGAACTGAACTCAGGTCCTCTGGAAGAGCAGCAAGCACTTTTAACTGAGGAGACATTACTCCAGTCTCACCATATAAAACACCACATTGTATAAGAAAATGTAAACTGCCAAATGCAATCCGTCGCACACAAGAGAGTCTTGGTTGTTCTCTGTTCCATTCCGAACTTGCCACTAATTTGCATAAAGAATTTATGAACAATTCCCCTCTTTCTTTGGCTCCTTTCTCTCTCCTCCTTCCTTTCCTTCTTCCTTTCCTTCTTCTCCCTACTTATTCTTTTTGTCTCGAGTTATTTCACACACAAAATTATAAGGGCAATGTAAATACTGATTGTATAGCACATGATCATAAGAATGAACACAATGTTCTCAACAACACGTTGGGAAGTATACCCCTTCTAAGGCTCTTGAACCAACTGTGTCTGTAGACTGAATTCATCCCACTCTGCCTTCCTTAGTGTACTAGCAAAATCATTGTTCTAAATGTTCCTTTTAGAATTCCTTTATATTTAACAATAACCCCTTTATATGAGCATGAATGCACATTTCTAAAAGCAATTTCCTTAGCTTGGGTAGTTCTTGAATTTGTGTGCCCAGTATTATATCGTAAGTATTTAATTGCAATTTTGCTAATTTTTTCCAACAGTTCTTGTAAGGTATGTTATAAAGTATAACACATCGATTTTCCACAGTTGATCCATGTTGCATGAAGTTACTACAAACATACTCATTCTCTTGTACATAGACATTTTGCATTCTATTTCTCTCCTGTTCTGAACAGTGGTCCTAGGAGTGTTATTGTACACCGCTTTTCAGTGCACATGTGCAAGTTTCTCTGGAGGTAACATTACTAGGAGCAAAGTGCTGGCTCACAGAACATTCATGGACCTGGCCATATAATGCTGAATGGTTTCCCCATCTAATAGCACTGATAAAGTTGCTCTGAATATTTTCTTCTTATCCTTTGTCCTCTGCTCTCTGTGTTTCTTCTTCTTTCATGAATGTTTCTCACTTGTTAAAATTATTTTGTCCAGATGTTGGTCAATTTATGAATTTTCAAAGGACCAATTTCCCCTTTATTATTCCTTCCATGCAATTATGTATTTTATTATGTAAGATATCTATATCTATATATATATATAAATATATTATTCTGCCTGTGTATTGTTATTTTAGTAGTATAAATGTACTTTTTCTATGTGGCAGATAATCCATTTCCACCTGTTCTGTGACAGTCACCTTTGTAAAAAAGGGCATTAGACCCTCACTGGGTTTTCAAAATGCTTCAATAAAATTCCCAGGCTGCCCCATCACGGGCTTCACCTGTCATAGGTGATCTGACATTTCCATAGCTAACTGTTTGGTAAGCGCTACATGTTTACAGTTGAATTATCTTCCTCAGTTAGGCCAGGAATACTCAGGGGCTGTCTCCAATTATAAAGCCAAGACCTTAGAGAAAGGCATCTGGTGTGTCTGCCCTGGAATGATGGTATTTGCATTCTAGATAATAGGGTGAGAACCTAGGATCCTTTCCAATCTGGGCTCCATGAAGAAACACAAGATGTTCTCTTTGCAGACTGAGAGCACAATGGTTGTTTCTTTCTTGCATCCAAAGCATCCTCTGTTCTCTGTCACGCCAATGTAGTGTCCCCTCTTCATACATGGACATGTAGCTTGATGGAGTTCAGTCAAGTCATGCTGATTCAATTACAATAAGAAACAGTCTCAGGTTCCTATTCACACCTTGGTGAATGCTCAGGATAAAAACATTTCACGTAATCCAGCAGCACTGAAGAACATTCTAGCTAGATACTAGCTCATCTAATCTTTGTAACCGTTGATGAGATGGGTACTATGGCATAACCACTTTTATCGATCAGAATCTGATTAGTCAATGCCAGTGGGATTCAAATCTGACAGTCCTGCTCCATATCATCATGATGGATCTGGAGCTGAAATTCTTCACGACTCGGTTTGTTCGTCTGGCTTCTTGAGTCTATGGATTAATAGTCTCAGGAACACAAAATAGGTGCTGTCCCCCTACCACTCAGCTAGAATTCTAGTCAGATGTTATATACAACAGTGTCTGCTGTGTAGTTCAGTTTTTATGCTACAGTTCTACTTTTCAGGTCTTTCCATACCACACTTTAGAGTATGTATTCAAATCTTTCAAGACCATCCATTTTTATATTTTATTGTGTCTGGGTTATTCTTTAGTTTCATCTATTACATGCCTCTGAAATTGTTTTTCCTGAGAATTTTCTTGCAATTTAATGTCTTTATGTTCTCACTCTTCATTTCTGTTTTCTATTCCATAGGATTTTCTAACTTGTTTTGTGAAATAAATTATCCATTTAGTCCTCTTCAGGAGGAGGGTGTATATATATTTACAGCTTTGGGAATGCTTTAGTTTTTTGAGCATTTTATATGAGTTCTGTGTTTACATCATTTCCACCCATCCCTTTCCCTTTTCCAACCCTCCTAACTTCCTCTCAAATTCATGATCTCTTCTTTAGTTGTTGTTGTTGGTTTGTACACACACACACACACACACACACACACACACACACACACACACACACACCCTACTGAGTATGTCCCTGGAGAAGACCGTTCTCCCTTTTTCAACAGCCATTGGTTGCCTGTAGTTCTTAATCTAGTGGTGCGTCCTTGTGAAATTTTCTCTATTTCTATCCTCATGCCTGTAGTGTTTTTATTATGAATGTCTTGTTAAAGCACCCAGATGATTGAGACTTCATGGATATAGCTTCCCTCTCATGTCCAGAAGATACTTCTCACAGCTGACTTACTAGTCCTTGAGTACTTAGAATCTGTTTGCTCCCCTCTTCCATCTTGATTACTGTGGCTGAAGTGAAGGAATTGTGTTGTAGATGTATCAGCTGGAGATTGGCATTCTATAGTCAATTGTTCTCTGCATTTTTGTGGTGATATTTTATTCTTGCACCCCAATAAAGTTTATCTGGGGATCAGAGGAAAAAGCCAGTCACTATATTAAATAGAGAAGTCAGGCAGAAGTAGCACAAGCCTTTAATCCTAGCATTCAGGAGGCAGAGATTCATCTGAATCTCTGTGAGTTCAAGGCCACACTGGGAACAGAGCCAGACATGGTGGCACATGCCTTTAATCCCAGTGCTAGTTAACCATAGAGGTCTGGAGGTCTGTACAGACAAACAGGAAGTGATAGAGCTGGGCAGAAAGAGGAAGTGATGTAGCAGGGCGGAGAGAGGAAGTAAGATGGCAGGGCACAGAAGGGTATATAGGCGTGAGTATACAGGAAGTAGCTCTCTCTGGAGACTGAGGAGTTGGTTAAGGTGAAGTTGGCTCTGGCTCTGATCTTTTAGTTTTCACCCTCATATCTGGCTCTGGGTTTTTTATTAATAAGAACATTTAGCAATTCATCTTACGTATTTTGGCCATTTGTGGATTCTCTGATGGTCTTTGCTGCAAAATGAG